ATTGTTACAGGCTTGCAATGCACTGGGGAGCTGCACTGTCATTTATTTGTTGGCTCACAGTTGGTGGGCATTTGCACTGTTCAGATTGTTTTGCCATTATACTCATTGTTGCTAAGGAGCTCCCCGTGTGCACCCTTTTTACTGTGTTGAAGTGTTGCTTGAGGGAAAAGCCCAGAAGTGCTGGGTCAAGGTGATGAGTGTTGTAAACTTCAGTAGATACTTTGAAATTGCTCCCCAAAGAGTACACCAACTTACACTTTTACGATATGTTATTTTTTAATAACAAAAACGTTATGGAGGCAAATACTTGTGACTGCTTGGAAGTGTAGAAAGGGAGAGGTAAAGTTCTCCCCGTGACCCCGTCGCATGTGCCCATCCTGTTCCCCAGAGTAACCAGGCCAGAGGTTAGCTGTGGAGCTTCTCAGGCCTTCCCCCCGTCTTCTTTATACTTACGTGCTTATCATAGAATGAACTTACATATATATGTATATAAAGTGTACTCTATCATATATGTTTGTGTGTATTTGTATGAGAGAGCTCATTTCTAGACTCTTTCATTGTCTATTCATGTGTCAGTACGCATCTGTCCTAATTACAGCTTTGAGCTGGGTTTGAATTTGAGAAGGCAAATTTTCATGTGAGACATTGTGAAATATATATTTGATCTTTATCCACTTTCCAAGCTTACATCTCCTAAGACCTTTGGGATCTCCAGAGTGTCTCTTTTTGGATGCTAGGGAGTTAACTGTGTCTGGCAGCCCCAACAGTTAGGGCAGGATGGGGTTAGGACAAGGTAAGGATTTGGGTAGGATGGGGGCCAATATCCTGAAAGACTAAGGTAGCAGTCAAGTGTTGGGACTTTCAGCTCCATTTCCCAATCTTCAGCAAAGGAGAAAACCTGTAGGTCAAGTCAGTCACCCATGGCCACAGATTTAATCAGTAACAAAGTCTTTGTAAATTTGAAAGAACAGAGTTCAGAGAGCTTCCAGACTGCAGAACTTGTGAAGATACTTGGGATGGCATGCCCAAAGAAGACATGGAAGCTCTGGGTCCTTTCTCCCATCCCTCACTCTATGTATTTCTGTGTATCTTTTATAATACCTTTTATAAAAAAACAAACAAACAAACAAAACTAGTAAATATGAATAAATGTGTCCCTGAGTTCTGTGATTTGCTCTGGCAAATTTTTTAAATCTAGAGGGAGTTGTGAGAACATTGATTTTTTGGTAGGTCAGGAGAGCAGGAAAAAGGACCTGGGACTTGTGATTGACATCTAAAGTGGTTGGGAGAGTCTTCTAGAACTGAGCCCTCAACTTGTAGGATCTGATGTGTTATGGTTTGTGTCTAGATGTCCTCTCAAGGCTGTTCAGAGGTGGCTGAATACAGAGTGTTATTGAATCATGGTGAAATGCTAGGATTAAGGGTGCTAGGATTAAGGGTGGATGATTACTAAATCAGTCCACTGATTGGTTGGGCACTGCCCAAATCCCGGTAGCCTAGACACAGTAGAAGGGACAGAAAGGGGCTTGTCCTGCTACCTTGTATCCATAGTGAACTGTTTCTCCTCTGCCACCCTACCCTGAAGCCAGCCAACTATGGGCTGAAACCTCTACAGACTGTGAGCTAAATAAACCTTTCCCTCCTTAACTTTGGGTGTTAGGTGTTTTGTGTCAGCAACAAGAAAAGTAACCAAGATGAGAAGCTATCTCCAGGTGGACGATTTTAGAACAGAAAGGGTTAGAAGACACCCAGCCGGTATCTTTGGCTGGAACACTGCTTTCTGGGTGGGTGGGGAAAACCCCACAAACACAGTGCCCACTGTCAGAACGTGTTGTGACCTGTGTACCTGCATCTGCCTGGAACTCCAGCACTTGATAGGCTGAGGGAAGAGGGTCTGGAGTTCAGGGCCAGCCTGGTCAACTTTTAAAAAAAGGGTTGTGAACACACAGGAGAAACTGAATTTGATGCCTCCCACTACCACCACACTTTTTCCACATGTTTTCAGATTATTTCATTATTTTTCAATGAAAAATTGCTTGGTTCTTAGGTATGAACTCTTCAGATAATCTTAAGAACCAAGTACCGTACAAACCATATCATAGGTTTTTGTTTTGTTTTGTTTTGTTTTGTTTTTTGTCTTTTTGAGACAGGGTTTCACTATGCATTTCAGGCTGGCCTTGAGCTCACTTTGTAGCCCACGCTGTCCTCAAACTCACAGAGATCCTCCTGCCTCAGGCTCCCGAGTACTGGGATTACAGGTGTGCCCCACCATACCTGGCCTCAAACATGGATTTTCAAAAGAACTAATTTATGGAGAAATGACATTTTAGGAAAGAGACATATTTCCAGTATTGAATATTGAATCTCAGTAATGTGTTATGTTTGTTTACTCTGATTTGTCTTTGGTGAAAGCCTTACCCATGTCTTCCCAAGTTTAAGTATTTTATAGATTTTGTTGCCATCACAAATGCAATATTTTCACCTTACATTTTCTAGTTGGATATTGATGAAAACCTACTTTATTAAATTTCATATCAGTTCTAAGCCAACCATGGTGGTCCACTTCCATAGTTCCAGCTGCTTGGGAGGCTGAGGTGGGAGGATCACTTGGGCCCAGGAGTTTTAGATCAACCTAGGTAACATAGTAAAGCCCCATCTTAAAAACAGAACAACAACAAAATTCCAAGATTAGAACCAGAGGCCTCCAGTCTTCTCAATTCCTATTAGGCCTAATGGTTTTTCAGTGGATACTCCTGAATTTTCTAGATGGATAGTAACTTTTTATCATATTATTATTAATATTTAGACATGTGTCTTGGTTACTTTTCTCTCTCGTTGCTGAGACAAAATACCCAATGCCCAAAATGAAGGAAGGAAAGGTTTATTTAGCTTACATTTTGTGGAGGTTTTAGTCCATGCTTGGCTGGCTCCTAGGCAGAAGGTAGCAAATCAACAAGAGCAAAGGGGGAGGGTCTGGGGATTTAGCTCAGTGGCACAGCACCTGC